ACGTGACGCGGCAGTGACGTGAGTGTCGATCGTGCGTAATATGAAACGCAGTATGTCAGAACGCGTCATCACGTAGAAAGGTGATCAAGAATGAGAATCGTGAGAATTTATAAGATGATTTTGAACTTCAATCGAGAGTCTCACTATCGATTGAGTTCTGGCAAGAATAGTATTGTGGACGTTGAGGTCCAAGCAAGAATAGGAGATAATAAAGTAAGACCTTTGATTGAATAAGACTACTGCTTATTCCAGAGGCTGAGGCCCAGAGTCGCTGGTGCCCAAAGGCAGACCATAGCCGACGTAGATTCGATGTCAGGGACTGCTCATTGAAACAGACAGGGCGTTGAGGCTCCCATTCAGGTCTGTGGATCAAGTCCATCTGACATTAACAGGTTTAGCAGCGATTGCCACTTTCTTGTTGTTCTTCGACTTTCCCATTGTCAGTTTTGATGCAAAAAGGAGGAGCGAGTTTCGTTTTGCTACAGAAAAATCGTGTAGGCGAAGTACCGAAAGTGATGTTTTGAGGACCCGGATATGCGTGTTGTTTTTGTATTTTTGTTTTTTCGGAATATGGTCTCCATTCATACTTCAGCATTTTCGATTCTCGATATGGTTGCTGTTGTTCAAGTCCGAGTTCTTCCCCTCTCTTGATCACGTCGTCAGTGATAGGCATCGCCGTTGTCACTCGCCCATTGATTTCTCTTCCGGTTTCCAGAGACATGAAGTTGTATCGTCCAGTCAGATTTCTTGGATCCAAAACGATCGCTCCAATGGTCCAACTTTTCATTGTATTCGTTACTTTTTCAGTCACGTGCAATTGAACATACTCGCCGCACTCGTATTTAAGATGATTGTGGTCAACGTGTGAAAGATTTTCAATAATGTTCCGAGCCAAGAGCCCATTTGTACTTCGTTCGGCGGATCCAAAAGCGTTGAGAAAAGCAACTCCAGTCTTGATGATGGCTTGTACCATCATTCTCGGGTAGCACAAAGAGGGCATCGCATGGCATGTTGACCGACTGTCATTTTTCATGGTCTGAAGAGACCTTTCAATCTCAGGGACGTGGTCGTCCACTTCACAGCAGACCAGTCGGGCCGGCAAGACGTCTTTCTCCACCTTTCCAAATTCGTTGTCTGCGTGGATTTTGGTGATTCGGAAACCCCAGGCATTGTAGAGTTTGAAGATATCCTTGAGCTCCTCGACAATGGAGCCTTTGGTTCTGCTTATTGGAAAAGACACGGTTCGATAGTCAATTCGTCAAGAGATGGAATGAAAAACAGCGCCGCCGTTTACATAATAAAAGTCAACGCAAAGCGTCGCGTTTTTGAGATCTTTGTACATGCTCTTTGGGATCTGGACGATATTGGTCTCCTTGACTCTCGCTGACGACTGGTAACAAGTCCGGCCCTTCGCTGGTGGTAGTGGTGGTCCATATATGGAGTGGGACCGCCGCACATCCCCTATTGTGACAGGACAGTTCCGAATCCAATTGTCCTTCACGACACGTACAAATTTGTCTTCCGCCATATGGTTGGTCCTTTGGTTGAGCAGCACCGCCTCATCGGCCTTACGAATATCCCTCTTAGCGAAAGTTGCTTTGTTGTCTGCTACAGTTTGTAAAAAGTTGAAAGCTACATTAAGCTTAGACATATCTACTGAAGTAGCATCATAGACGTACAGACCAGGAGCAATGCATTCGAATTTCATTACATGCCCCTCCAAAATGTGTACGCTAAAAGCATTTTCAGTCTCAGTGTCCAGAGTCACACGAAATTGTTCCGCAACGAGCGCCAGAGACAGTATGTTAACCAAGCATCTCGGGTTATACCACACGGTGAATCCCCCAAAATGACCCTTCTGAGTAGTATCGAGAGTTCCACCGGAAGTGTGTAGTCTCAATATTTCCCCATCAGTGGTGGCCTTTTCTCCAGTCAAATAACTCAGGTTGCTGAAAATATGATCGGTGGACTCACTATCGAGGAGAATCCAGTTTGGATTAATGTGAGTACCGGGATGTTGATTCATAAGAATACCACATCTGTGATTGCTTACTTCACTGATAGTAGCTTCCAACTTTGCTCCCGTTCCATCCTTGGCAGCGGGACAATGGCTCTGGTAGTGCCCCTTGTTCTTGCACAGGCGACAGGTGATGGTGGCGTAGAACGAGTCGTTGGTTCCCCGAAAGCAAAAACTTGTCCCATTTCACCAGCTGTCTGGGCGAAAGAAGCCAAAGGGTTCCTATTCGCTCCTGTTCTTGCTGAGGGCTGTCTTGCACTATAATTGTTATTGCCGCAACCGTGTTGGGCGACATTGTTCGGCTTCCAATTTTCCAGAAGTTTCAAAACTCCAGGGACGTCTTTAGGAAATCCATCCTGTGGGGTTCCGTTGGGCTTCTTCAGATAGTCGTTAGAGAGCTCCTTCATCAGATCACCAAAACGCTCTTTGTCAGTCCGCTTAAGGATTGACATGGCGATGCTACGATCCTTGATCATCTTTTTCTTGACGCGTCGGACGTCATCTTCTTGTTCCTTGGTCATAGCAGCGGTCCCTGTGGCCAATGCTGCGGTGAATTTGCTCTTGGCAGCTTCCACAGCTGTCTTGAGCTCCTTTTCCTTTGCCGGAGTCCACAGAAATGGGCCTCCACGGCGTTCGCAAGCCTTGATGGCTCGTAGCATAGTCTTCACGAAAGCTTCATTTGATTCGCTTCCCTTCTGACGCATCTTGAAGATCTGCTCGAGCGCGTCATCAAGCGCGAGCTCTGCGGGCGCAATTCCTTCTTCATATCCAGAGACGATGTCGTCAATGGTGCTCATGAGCCAAACCAGATCTTTATTCTTGCTGCCGGCCAGATGGCCATCAGTTGACTTGATCTTGTTTCGCATTGTCGTAGTTACGTTGCTCATGATTAGCTGAAACATAGCGACAGTGTTAGCCCAAAAAGCGTCCTTCCAATCTTCATATTTGTCCATCAACCGATCGTACGCTTTGACTTTTCTGGCGTCTCCTTCTTCTGCAGCCGTCAATGGATCAGGCTCCTTTATCTTGGGCTCCGCGTTTTCTTCTAGAACGTAACCCACATCACCTCCGTCCGCCCACCTGACGATTACTTCGTCAGTCAAGCTTGTCAAAAAATCCTCCAAGTCTTGCTCTGTTCCATCTTCCACGGGCGCCTTCAATTGTTTGAGCCCCTTTACCGTAGTCGATCTGTATCCCATAGAGCTCATGGCGTTATCTGATCTCTCTTCTTCTTCTTTTTCTTTTTCAGTTTCCCACTTTCTTCAAGTTCTGTGGGATTCTCTTTATTGTTTGTGTTGCCGTCTATACTGTGACAAACTTCCTTCCAAACGATTAGATTCTTCCAATCGTTTCCTGCCCTTTCTTAGTAGGCTTCTTTATCAATACTTTATCACCGATTTCCAAAGTGATGGGAAACTTCTTCTCTTGTTCCCGTTTGTTTGTTCCGCTTTCCTCGCTCCTCTCCTTGTCAAGGTCTATTATCAACTTCTTGACCTTTGACTCTATTTCTTTCAAGTCTTGAACAAGTTCTTCCTTGCTCTTCTTGGTCATGTACCGTTGAAATGTAGCGATGTTGTTCAAATATGAGAAAATGTATATATATTCTTTTTGAAACCTCTTATGTTAGTTAATAAAAGACCCTACGATACTCTGAGACAATCAGTCTTCAGTTGTTTGGCGTAACGTAGTCCTAATACTATGAACCTTAAAGTCGTTAATAAAACTTGCTTTAGTTGGGATAAGAGTTTTTGAATGACCAAAGCAAATTCATGCTTTCGGTCATCCCAAAACTCTCTACGCAGTTTTAAACTACTGTAATTCAACCGTTCATCTTTCGAACAACATCTGCCCATGACTGGTTCTCCATACTCTCACGGTTGATGTATGACGGCGGTTTAGACTCGTCACTATCTGACTCAGGGGAGTCGTCTGTACGACTTCCAACATACAACCACCACAAACCCTTTGACAGTTAACATCTTTGTAGTCGATTCTGTCAGGATAGAGTCGTCTGTCCGTCACACATAGCACAGTCACTGACCAGAGAGTCACCTAATGTAACCACTCTAATGAGTTCCTGACAATTAACACGTCCTTGCTCATACCATACGTCTGAGCCCATAGATGAGTACTACTAACACTCCTATTACTCCAGTTGGAAAGCAATCTGCTCCACAGAGTGATACTGCAAATGAGTCTGAAGTAGAAGACAAAGTGATCGTTGAACCAGCAAATGTGGCGACAACGCCCTTCTCGAACGATGATATCCAAGTAATCAGTTCGTTAGTCTGGGTCAAATACAACACTTCAAAACGAAAGGAAATTCGAGACTTTCTCAATTCGGCAGGTATTTCTACATGGGGCAAATTAGAAGGAGGCGATTTTTCTGAAATTGAATTTGATCCCAACATTAATCCCTTCACAAACCTCAAGAAACAAATGACCCGCCAACGTTTTATCAAGGTATTGACTTATGCTGCCTTGACAAAACAACGACTCAGTTCCTCGCTAACTTTCAGTGAAGTCAACAAAACTCTGAAAGAAATGTCCTCAACACCAAGCTCTCCGACCGATTCATCAAGTTCATCCTCCAGCAAATCTGGAACCGACAATCGCCCGTTCAAACTACAAGTTCCCGATCTACCGGCGTTCTCTGGTCGCACTGATCAGTATCCAGGTTGGAAACGGAAGATAATGCATGAACTTGGCAAACGAGCTCTTTGGAACGTCCTTGATTCCGATGATTATCATGCCAAGAACCCCCAAATTTCTGAAGCAATCTTTAGCGCAATTGCTGCTGCTTTATCTGATGGGCTTGCATCTCCATTGAGCAAAGAATTGGAATCTGCAAAGGAATTCAACGCAAGAAATTGTATCTTGTCCTTGAAAAGAGTTTTAATACTCCTGCAAATTGAGCGAACTACGTTGTCCATGCAGTTAAAGATTTGATCGACATTCGATTGGATCAGAATACTGATGTTGAAGTTTTTGTTACCGATTTTCGACAGATCCTACTCGATCTCCATGAATCCGGTACAGACCTTGACGCTATTTCTGTCATTCTTCGTGCATTTCTGGTCCATGCGATCGATGCTGATGAGTTTAAAAAATGAACAGAATTGGATCATTGACAACCCCAAGGAAACTTTGGATACCTATCTGGAGCGTCTACGCACAAGAGATTCCACTGTCAACGTTAAAGGCAGGTCTCTACGTAAAGACTCAAAGAACCAGTCCTCCGTGGTACGTTGTTGGGATATGACGAAATATGAGTTTTTACGTTCCAAACGAAACTATTCAAGTACGAGGTTTTCGACACGTGCGATCGGACTTTGATCGTGCGCGATGTCGGGATTTGACGCAAGTATGCCGGACG